CATTTTAAATATGTTCAAAATTGCCATTTCTTGAAAATACTCAATTTTGATAATGATAATGCTCATTCAACTAGCATTGTAAATATTATCAAAATTGTCATTTCTTGATAATGCTCAATTTTGATAATGATAATGCTCAAATTAGGTTATTCCACTAGTATTGGAAATGACAAATTTGCCCTCACTATTTAGCCTATAAATAGTGAACAATTTCATTCATTTTGAGATATCCCAAGCAAACATTTTCTTTGAAATACTCCTATCTTTTGAGTGTTGTTTGAGTTGAGAGAAGAGCAACACCACCAAGTTCACTCCAGTTTTCGGGTGTACTAATTCTTGGAGAGTCGTGTTAACCTCGGGGGAACGATCTGCCTACTACAGCGATTACACACATCGAGGTGAATTCGTTTCTAAGGAAGTGGTTTTACCAGACACGGTTTATCAATCTGTTTCTTTTAAATTATTATTTATTTTTCCTGTCAGTGCTAACGGTGTTATTTTGCAGTCCATATTTCCAACAATTTAGAAACGAATTCCTTTATACTGCAATCATGACAACACCTTTGAGCAGACTGATTCCTGATCTTTCCAAGCTCGATGCACTTGATGGAAAGAATTATAGAAGATGGTCCTAAAGAATCCTGATATTCCTCAAGCAGCTTGATCTTGACTATATGTTACTCAAGCCACTACCTATCATGCCGCCAACCCCAACAACTGGTAATGATGCGTATGCGGTCCTGAATGATAATGCCTTAGCAACTGCCGCCACCACACTCGCTACCTACGAGAAATACGAGAAAGACAACAAAACGGTGCGAGGACATCTGCTCAGTCACATGTCAAATAAATTATTTTATATGTTCCTTAGAGAAAGGAGTGCCAAGGCAATATGGGGCACTCTGGAGAAAAAGTATGGTGTGGATGATGCGGGTATCAAAAAGTACATTGTCGGTGAATGGATCAAATTCTAGATGACAGATGACAAGCCGATAATGGATCAAGTCATGACTATGAGAACTTAGTCGCTAACATCATTGTCGAAGGGATGCAAATGTATGAGGTACTACAAGCCAATGTTCTCATTGAGAAGTTGCCCAAGTCCTGGTTTGACTACCGCAATTCACTTAAGCATAAGAAGAGAGAAATTTCACTTGAAGAGCTGGTGGACCATATGAAGATTGAAGAAGCCAATCGTTTAAAAGATAAGGTTACTAATTCTCTGAGTAATTTATCTTTTAAAGCTAACTTGGTTGAGTCTAGATTCAAGAAACGAGGGAATCAAGACAAGAAGACAAAACCTTAGAAGGCTACCAACTTCAAGAAGTCTGGAAAGGACAAACCTGAAGGAAATACGTTCAAGTGCTATGTTTGCGGTTTAGTCGGCCACAAAGGTTACCAATGCAAACACCACTCAGACCGCCAGAATGACAACAAGTCACAGATGCACGTTGTAGAAGAATATGATGAAATCATTATTGCGACGGTCTCAGAAGTTAATCTGGTGGAAAACAGTTCGGAATGGGTTGTTGACACTGGCGCTTTGAAGCATTTCTGCCCAAGGAAGGAGTTTTTCACCTAATTCAAGGATGGGAACACAGGTGAACGTATGTACATGGGGAACTCTAGCAGCTCTGAAGTGTTAGGCAAAGGCTAGGTTTTACTCAAGCTGACTTCTGGTAAAACTCTAGCTTTAAATAATGTTCTGTATGTACCTGCCTTGCGTAGAAATTTGATAAGTGGTGGGCTTCTGAATATGGCAGGCAATAAGTTCATTCATTTTGAGATATCCCAAGCAAACATTTTCTTTGAAATACTCCTATCTTTTGAGTGTTGTTTGAGTTGAGAGAAGAGCAATACCACCAAGTTCACTCCAGTTTTCGGGTGTACGAATTCTTGGAGAACCGTGTTAACCTCGGGGGAACGGTCCGCCTATTGCAGCGATTACACACATCGGGGCGAATTCGTTTCTAAGGTAATGGTTTTACCACGACACGGTTTAACAATCTGTTTCTTTTAAATTATTATTTATTTTTTCTGTCAGTGCTAACGGTGTTATTTTGCAGTCCATATTTCCAAAAGATAGGAATTAAAATAAAAACAAACTAAAAGTTCGATGATTGTGTTGCATGTTTCAAAGTTGGGTGATCGTAAGCGTCCTAAAAATTTGGAAATTGTTTATATACTTTACCCTAAAATTTAACATAAAAAATTTCCCAAAGTGAGACGATTTTAAAAGTTGTCACTTAGTTAGAAATAAATTGTATTGGTGTGATATTCAAAATTAACTTATATTAGAAATATTACTCAATGGTTCAATGCATATATCAATTAATTTCTTTAAGCTCAGTTATTGATTCTTTCATTTACAATAACTAATGTTATTTTATAGGTTTAAATCTCAAAATGCTATTTGTGAGACAATTTTCTCATTGTGAAAATTCTGAATCAGATTGCTTTTTGAGGGACTTTTCTATCAAGTTAAGAAGATAATTAAAGATTACATATTTTTAATTGATAAAAATCATAATATTTACAATATTCAATTCATAATAATCAAACTCCATGAATTATTTCGTTTAGTTCATAATCATCAAATTCCATGTTAAGAAGATAATTAAAGATCCGAACTTTGTTAACAAGTTACTGTGTTCTTTCTGTTTTTGTTTATTTTTATATTTGCAGGTGGTTAATGGCGACTGTCACTTAAGCATATTGTATTGACAATTTGACATAAACACATCAACATACCTAAGGTATAATATGATATATGAATTTTAAATTTATATATATATATATATTATGTAAACGTAACTACTTAAATTTAAATTATCTAAAAAGAATAGCCCTCTTTATTATTGAGACCATTTAATTAATTATTCATCCTCTTAATTGTCTTTCTATTGTACCAAACAATTTAAGTTTATACCAACATCCAGTTGGTCTAGTAAGATGAGGCAGTAGATCCTTTAAGCAATGTTAGAAGTTCGAATCTCGGCAATTGTGAATGGAGCAAACTGGGTTGGGAGGGTCGCCCTTACCTCTACAGTACTCGATCCGTATTAGTCGATCAATAGATCGGATACTTTTGGTTATAAAAAACAATTTATGCTTATATATTGTGTAACTTTATTCCAAAAAAAATGGATGTGTTTATTTTTAAAAATGTATATAATTGAATTAAAATTAAAGTTTTATAGGTAAAATTAAATGTTCATGTATATAAATATAATTAATTTGAATTAAAATATATATATTATATATTATACAATAAATCAAATTCATGTATAAATTAAAAATACATTAATTACTTTTATTTTTTATTCTATTTAATATCATATAATGGTGTTGTAGTGTTTGAGATAATTGGTGCGGGCCACACTAGTATAACACCATTATTTGGGCTACCAAATCATGAAATGAAACCCATCCAAATCGGTCAATTCAGTTCAAATTTAGTTTTGGTCCGTTTTTGTTTATAAATTTTTAATTTTTTTATAATTATACTTAACGTTTAGTTTTTATTTCATTTTAGTATTAGTTGTTAAAAATTTAATGCGTTTAGTACGTAAACTATAAGTTTTGGTTCGTTTTAGTATCTAAGCTTTCAATTTTTTAAAAACTTAACGTTAAATTTTGAATGAAGAACTAAAATGAAACAAAAGCTAAATTTTAAGTATGATTTTGAAAAAAATTGAAAATTTAAGTACTAAAATGGACTAAAACTACATAAACTGACAGTTTAGTTACTAAATATGTAATTTACCCCATATTATTATAGAATATAAATTTAATCATAATTCATTAGTATGAGCCATCCAATTAGGGATGGCAAACGGGCGGGTCGGGTGCGGATACCCCCTCCCCCATCTCCATACCCACCTAATATTTTTCAATCCACCACCCGCCCACCACCCATGATGGGTACAAATTTTCAAATCCACACCCGCCCACGCGGGTACATTTTCAAATCCATCCCCACACCCACTACCTACTAGCAACATACCCATCTAGACCCGCCTTATAGCAAACTAATGGGATGTTGGAGTTGGTTCCCAGACAGTTCGTGATGGGGTAGCAACGCATGGTTCAATTTTTCAGAGGAGTGGCTCTACGAATGTTATGGAGACAGATTGTAGGGAGCATGTAGTCGCAGAGCTGGATTGTTGAGTTGCTTTCGATGTTAATGCTGCGCCTAATATGGGTTTTGAGGGGCTAAAGAACATGGAAACTTCTGCTTTTGATGTTAATGCATATAGTACGGCTAATTTGTGTTTGGATGGGCAGCATGGGCTAAAGAACATGGAAAGTGACGTGGTTAGTGGGATTATGAGTTTAATCAAAGAGCCGAATATTTCCCTAATTAAAGCCCAGATTAAAGACTAAATATCCTTAATATTTGGTTAAATTATATGTTATATATTATACAATATTAAAATTTATAAATTAGTCTCTAAAATTACACCTAAATTCATAATGGTCCAAAATTTAATAGATATTTAGCTGGGCGGGCAGATGCGGGACGGGCGGATGCGGGGCGGTCAGATGCGGGGCGGGTAATGTCTCAAACCCATTACCCGCCCACCACCCACGATGGGTACCACTTTATAAATCCACACCCGCCCACTACCCGCTAAAATTATACCCATCCTCGCTCCAATTAAAACGGATGCGATGCGGAATCCACGAAACTAGACCCGTTTACCATCCCTACATCCAATTTATATAAAAGAATCTTATGCATATAGGAAATGATGATTTCTTAATTGAAAAAAAAAAGCTTAATAATTGTTTTGATCCCTTTATAGTTAAACTATCACTTTTGACACGAATCAAATGGTTTCTGTAGTAAAAAAATGGTTAGTATTACTCGAAAATCCGAGATCGAGTTTCAGTATACCTTTAATATTAAAAGTTTCAGTATATCTTTATAGTTAAACTTATTAGTTGAAACTCGGTCCACTTAATGAGGATTCATATATACAAAACTATTTTTTTTTAAAAAGGCAATGAATTTAGGTTGTTGGTTCATCTTCATCCTCAACCTCTTTAGAAGAAAGAGGAGGGTCAAAGGGGCTAAAAACCCTGTAAGCAGAGATGGCAGCCAAAACGATGAAGCAGCAAAGGACCAAGGCATGGAGAATCAACGCCACCTTCATTTTGCTGCAGAATTTCCCATAACTATTGCAGGCTTCACTCCATGTGATCTTCTGATCTCCTTCGTAAGCCAAGTCTAATATTTCCATCACTGCCGCCCCCGATGTCACCGTCAAATATGCCACAATCTGTGCTCAACACACACACACACACATTTAAGTTCAAAAAAGGTAAAACTTCAAAACTTATAAAGTCGATGGCTTTTACCTGATCAGAGACGAAGAAGAGCCAAGCTTTAGTGAGGAAACATCTGACGAAAGAGGCGATAGCGGCGAGAGAAGCATAACCGGCACAAATGGCACTGGTGAAAACCATGTACCTGTCGTCGAAAGGCAGATTTCAGTGCGTTCTCTTAATGATCCAAAAGAAGAAGGGAACAAAAAGCAGTGCAGGCAGCAAATAAATTGAAAAACACATGGTTTACTTGAGTCCGGTGAGATTGGTGAAGTTTACATCTCCATAGATGGGGTTGTGTTCCTTGTTGGTGACGGTTAACCAGATGGTTGCAATACTCAGAGGAATCACTGAGAGCCGAAGGGAAGCATCCAGCGACTTGAGAGCAGGTGGGTTCTGGTTACCTGTGCTTTCTGCACTCATTTTTCTCTTCAAATGATACCAAAAAACACACTTCAACAGTGGGATTAAGTGGGTGATGGATATAGAGATGTACACAGTACATTCTCTTATGGTCTTCGATTTAAAAGAACAAAGAAAAGGACGATATGCCGTAGGCGTGATGTTGGGTTGGTATGATAAAGTTGGTGGGAAGAGTGATAAGCAGTGGGGAATCAGGAATGTGCTTTTTGACGGAAGTGAATGATGTGATTGTTTGGTAAATTACACCCCAAAGTCATTTAATTATAGGTTTAGTTACAATCAGGTCACATTTTTATTCTAAAGGTTAAGAAACATACCACTTAGTTAAATTTCCAAATATTAGGGTTTCAAATTTTCTGTAAATTATTGACTTTATGAATTTTATTTTTTAATATTGTGATTTACTTATAGATTTTATTTTCTAATTTTATGTGAAGTAATTTATTGACTTTATTTATGATATTTACATCTATTTATAATTTAATTTTTTTATATGTCGTATCCTTGTCATCCTCATACCCTGTAATTTTAGGAATTTTTCGTTTTTCGTCCCAATCCTCGTCTCTATATTTGTTCTCGTATCCATATCAGTGCAATATAGCTTGTTTATATTAGGCGTGGGAATAGGCCAGGTCAGCCTACAGGGGCCTACGACTTGGCCTACATAAATCCTGACCTGGCCTATTTAATAAAAAGACTAGGCTCGGGCTTTTTCAAAAGCTTATTAAATTAAATAGACCAGGCTTAAGCATATTAAAAAGCCTTATAAGCCTGATAGGTCAGTCTATATATATGTATATATACTTGTCATAACGGTGTCTACTTTGTAAAATGTGCCTAAGTTAGAGTGACTTTACTCTAAAATTAATGACTAAACTGAAAATATTTGACTAAACTATAAGTCTATAAGGTAATTAACCCTAAATCTAATATATAACCCTAAAACTAAACTAACCCTCTCTCCTCAATTTCTTTCTCTCTTCAATCTCTCTCCCTCCCATTATCTCTCACGAGCGGGCCCCCTGTCATTGTTTCATTTGTTTTTTAGTTATATATTCATTATAAACAAATAGAAATAACAATAAAAGTGGAGCATGGACACAGTATGGGCAATAGCAACATTTGATGGTGTGCTAGTGCAGACGTCGGGAACAACAAGGTATGGTGATGACCTTGGGTACTGTGTAGACAGGTATGGGAGACAAAAATTGGTGTTTACAATACTTATATTATTTTTTGGGTACCAATATATATGTATCCAACTAAATTAACGTTAGATTAAAAATTAAGCCAAATTATATATTAAGGGCTTGTTTAGCCTATTATAGAAGGTGTGTTATTTTAAAAAAAAAACTATCAAAGGAATATTAAAGGTTTAATGTGAAACAGGCTTTTAAAAAGGCAATCAGGTCAGGCAAGGCTTTTAAAAAGGTCAGGCCGTGCCAAAAATAAAAGCTTTTAATAGCCTACAGGCCAGGCTCAGGCCTAAAATATTCAACGTATGCCAGACTCAAGCCTTTTAAAGACTGGCTTGGCTAGACCTATTCCCACCCTAGTAATAATATTTTAATAGAGTGACTTGATGGAAATTTTTAGAGAAAAATGGCATGTTTGTTACGAACCCTGGAATTTGAGTGACTTTGGATGTAGGTTACCCTTTTTATTTGGTGGATACTGCTTAACCTCAAGTAGCCATGATTGCTTCTTCCTTTTTCTCCTTTCATCCTCCTTGAATCAGATGAGGTTCAGTGAAGTTGATTCAGGTTTATTCATGTGTATCTAACACCCCCTCCATTCAAATTAGAACCAACTACAAGTGGTTTCTAGTCATCCATTCAAATTAGAACCAACTACAAGTGGTTTCTAGTCATTTTAAAAGCGAGCTAAACTCGATTTAACTTTTTTTTGATTCAATTTAAGAAAATTCAACTTGATTTAACTACGATTTATAATTTCATAACTCGATTCGGAAAAATTTAAGTTCAAATTGAGTTATAAAATACAACTTAAATAACCTAATTTTTTAATAAAAAATGAATTAATTTTTAAATTTGAGTTGAGTGTCTCAACTCTATATGATATATAGTTCATAAATCTTTGTCTATATTTCAATCACTTCAAATGGGAGAACTATGGCCGATCTAGGATCAAGTTTCCCACTTTCTGATCCTTAAAGAATCCGAACAAAAAATGTCATTCTAAATCCGACACAGGATGTGATATCTTGACATAATGTATTCTTGTCAAAAGATGAGTCATGTTTTGCTCGAACAAATATATATATACGTGTGTGTATCTATTAGAGGGTGATGCTTTAAGATGAAGAAATGAAGTCATCAAAAGAGAGTTTCACCACCGATCATGGGAAAAGACAGAGCATCAGTCAAGAAAGTGGAACGAAAAAAAGTCACTAATTTGCATATCAAAAGGAATCATATTGGCAATGGCACTTATTGTGGAGTTGCCTTTCATTTCACACTTACAAAAACTCCTCTCTCCTTGAAGAATGGTTTTTTAATTACAAGACTCTCTGTTGCTCTCTTAAATCTGTTTTTATTACATTCACAAATCATACCTGCTTTTCATTATATGTTTTCTCCAATGGCCAAAAATCAAGCTCATATTACTGTTTTTTTAACTTCACTTCCTCCGGAGTTCAGAGGAAACGTACATCAGAAAGCTGCAGTCCCCAAAGCATTCTTGCCTTCTCCGCACCGCCGGTGGACGTCTCTCATCCTCTCAACCGACCTGCAAATCCCGCTGCAGGTCCAGTCGAATGAAGCAACACATACGTTGCCTGCTTGAGCCTTCCACTCGCAATCTGTACCGAAGGTTGTCATCGTCAATCTTTGTTTCGACTCCCGGATTTCTAACATGTACTCCTAGAAAAGATGGTATTTTTTTTCTCTATTTCTTGCTATACTTTGTACGGAATGACAGTCATGCTCAAACACACATACAGGAACAGCCCCGGAGGAAGGCCGAGGATGTCATGGCTTAAAGCATATGGCTAGTAAGAAGAACCAATTTTGTGATAAGGATGATTCAAGCTAGAACGGATGTTTAAGTTCGAACGAAATGCCCGTTTATTCCAGAAACTAGACTGGATGTTAACATTTATGACATTACCTGCAGTGCCACAGCAAAGGCTTCGGTCATCTATGTGCTCGACATCCAACCCTATAAACCATGATCCCAATGAAACATCTTCATTTGCATACTTATGCAGCACGTGCCTAGAAATTCATCATGAAATAAGAACAAAGATTAATAAGCATGAAAGAACTTCAAACACGAAGATGCAGTGTTTTCTTCCGAAGGTCGGGAACTTACTGGTTAATTGATATGTAGGAAGCTAAATCTTTCGAGATGGCATATAGCTGCCCTGTTGCATGGCGGAAATACTTGTTTCCCTCCTCACCAAATTTCCAATATTCAGGTTCGTGATATCGTACTCCCCTGTCCAGGGATGACTAAAGAGTGAGAAAAGATAAATATAGGTTATGACTCTTGAGCTTTAAGGTTAAAACATGATTTTGGCTCACTTTTGGGCAAGAACTGGACCGGATTTCATGCAACCAATATAAACCCTCGGCTTGGTTCGATGCCTAGCCAAAGTTGCTCCGAGTGTTGCTGCAAAAGCAAATAGATGGACCAAATGTAAGAAAATATAAGGAACAGTTGGTCAAGCTGGTTAAAAAAACTGCCAAAAGGCATTAATTCAACCAATGAGGTAAAAATCTGGCCTCGTCTACAAGATGTGCTATATCCCGTTATTCCGAATTAGTCATCTTATCGAACACTAAGCTTTCAAGGTGCCAAAAGGGAACATCCAATTTATCAATCAAATATAGGAAACATGCAGCCACATCAAGACAATGAGTTGCATCTCGAAATAGTCATTATTACAAGATACATGTTTTCAAGTGCAAAATAAATATCGACTGCTACAAAAGAAAAGCAAATATGGTAAAGAATAACATGTTTAACATTCACTGGTCTGAAAGACTGTTTTCATGAAACGCAAAACCGAGGGAGAAAATATTGCATCTTTACCTATATTTACATGCACATCATCATCGACTTTGACGTAGAAATCGGCATCCCACAAAGCAGCTGCAGTGGCAAAGTACGTTTTTGTCTTGGCTGATAATTCGAGGTAACCCTCAACATGCTCCTGCTAGAATGAAACTTTTACAATAAAATAAATACGCATTTACTTGTTCTCAACATATCAAAGTATTATAAAAATGTTGTAGACAAGTTTGTAAGTATGCTCGAGCATCTTGATATTGGAGCAAATCAATAACGTTGCAGAAAAGAATTCTAGTATGTATGAGCATATACATAAATCTAAAAACAAGCAAGATCGAGGATAGTACCAGCCGCAGAAAGTCACCATGCTTTTGGTCTTCTGCTTCAATAGCTCTATCAAGGATACCCCCCGAAGTAGCACTGTGAATCAAACGGATAAAAGGTTTAAGAGGATTTGATTCCATGGATATAGTCCTCGACTTCAAACATTTAGAAGACTATATAAGCAACAATCTGCGGGATAGTAAGTCGATACAACAAAAGGCTTCATAAAATTGCCTTCCACATTAATGGTTTGTTGAAGTAAAGACAACCGGATAAAAAAATCTCCACATCGACGGGATAAATAAATGCCTAACTAAAATAGATCTGAAGTCAAATAAAGTACACACCTATGACCGATTACGAATCGCATTATGATTCCTTTCTCTTCTTCAAGCTTCTTTCGTTCTTCGCCTGGATTTCATGCAAGTGAAGGAACGGAAATGATTCATCTCAAGAAATTTGTTTAGAATGAAATTAAATGATACCATGAATTCACTATTATACGGAAGAAAAGCGAAAAATCTATACCAACCTTGAGGCATCCAAGTAGCACGAACAGAATCTCTTCGTTTTCTGCTGCTAAAAGCAGTATTGATGCCTACAACCATTAAATATTTTCGTTTCCCACTTGCTTCGGGTATTTTCTGGTCGCCTGAGATAGGAGAACCATTGATTATCGATTCTTGCACAGCCCTTGTAGCAGCTAACTCCATCTCCAAATTTGATATTGTTTTATCCAGTGTTCTGCATTTTGATAGTCCATAAAAATTACGCCTTCCACTTAATTTAACAAAAAGCAGCACGGATATGACTTACTGTATAGCATTATGAGTCCTTGAAACTTCCCCGAGTATATCCTTAGGCTCATGCTTCACATCCTTCTGTTAATAAAAGTGATTAAATGAGCTCACAAGAGCCTGGCAGGTGACAAAATTATCCAGTATGTAAAGAAAAACTCACCCGTATTGGATCACAACCCTCTGAAATTAGCTTTAGCCTTTCATCTTTAACACCTATTGCTCGTGCTATGGTTTTATCCTTGGCCTCGGGCACATTCCACATTCTGATGCAAAAAGATCTAATTAGTTTGGCATTGGCATTGGTAAAATAGAAATAGGAAATATAAAGTTAAGTTCTCGATCTGGGAGCAAGAGTTTCCATTAATTCTTGAACAAATTCACTATAACAGTAATAATCGAAACCCCCAACAAGAAGTTTCCGATAACAACAGTAAACAAGATTCTGAATACCGAAATGCAGTGTTAGATGAAAGTTTGTTGCTTCTAGACACCTTCTGGGTTCTTATTGACTGCCACTAGCATTAACTAAACAGCATTCTCAGAGGAGCGAACATTGGGAAACAATTGATTTCGAACTGTAATCGATCCTTACCACAAAATTGACTACCAGAGGATCTCAATGATGGCAAGAGTGAGAAAGTAGATTTGAAATGGCCAAAACTTTAAACCCATCATTCAAGAAGCGAAAAAGAGGAACACGAAAACCTCCATAACACTATATGAACTGCAGATCTTAGCATTACACCATTAAACAAAGAGGACATATTAATTACAAGTCCATTAAAAAAAGAACCAACAATTAATGATGATTTATCAGAAGTTTTTCATAATCATTGCCATTCAAACAGTATAACAAATAAGCTAAAAACTCCACTTTTTGTATAGCAGTAAACCCAGTGAAAAGTGATTTAAACAATGGTCCATGGAATTAAAGGAAAAAAAAGCTATTGTATATATAGACACAATACAAAATCCTCTTAAATCAGGTAATTTACGAAGAAAAAAGAACCAAAATCCATGAAACTGATAAATTTACAAGCACCTACTTCATCAAGCTGCAAATACAAGGTAGAACCAAATCAAGGCATGGGATTCAAAGAAGCTAAAAAAAATTTAAGTTTACCCATCAGAAAAGAGCATCCCAACACAAAAACAGCCAATGCAAAGCAAAAGAGTCCATTTCTTTGTCACCGTAGACTTATAATTTGCCTCGAATCCTTTGCCTTTCCAGCCCATTCCTCTTTGTTCTTCCTCCAAAAGCACTTAAAATCTAAATCAAAGCGATAACCGTTCCTTATATCAAGTCAACAAAGTCGAGGTGACCCAAATTTCAGATCCAAAAATTCCAACTTTCCAATAAAATGAAGAAGAAAGCAACAAACTTCTATACAAAGAAATTGTATTTCAACCCTTGAAGGTCGTGTCTTCAAATTGGGTTTTCTGGGAATTGTTTAAGAAGAGAAATTGGAGAAAAAACTAGAGAAGGATGCTCTTTGCGGAAGTTCCTGGAAATGACCCAACAACTTCAACTGTTGAGTTCTTACATATAAATATATATATTATAAGAAAAATATAATGTAAAACTTTATTTTAAATTAGTATTGCCGACATTTCCGAAAAAATGTAAATTCAAAAAACTCCAAACAAGATTTGGTGTTACAATGTTTGAGTCGTAGCTGTGAATTCATTGACATTTCAACTTTCGTTGTATAAAGGTGGGCTTGTTCAACGTGGTAATAAATGAAGATTATTCTAATTTTGGACAAGGTAAACAAAGCGGATTTCATGTTTGAATTGGTTTATTATGGGAATTATTCAGCTTTTTACTAATCAACGAAGTTAATTCCACGATGATCACCAACTAAAATCTTCTGTCCCTCTCTAATCTCTATACCCTTTTGTCTATCCTTCCATTCCATTCATGTAATGACACATGTTTTATTAATTACTTTTAATATTGATGTTGGTTTTTTTTATCGGTTTTCCTTCTCTTCAAACTAGAAAAAATATTAATTTCGAAGCGATAAAAACAATATTGAATTAAAATTGAATACTCACGTTCAAGTGACTTAGAAACCTCTTACGAATGAAAGACTAAAATTGAATACAGACGATGCAAGTCAAGGAAATTTAGATATATCATATACGAGTGGTATTTTGAAAAACACATTTGATGAGTGAGTTTTGGGATTCTCTGCTTGAGTATGGCGGTTGAGCTTCATACTATAAGAATTGGATTATGGATTGCATGAGTATAGTTATGTAGTGACTGAATGCGAGATAGATGCTCGTGTGGTGTTACAACTGATAGATGTTGGTGACGTTTATTTACATCCTTTGTTTCCGACATGTTTATCATGAAGGAAACTTTTGTACTGATGTTCTCTCGAAAATGGAATGCAATGTAATAGAGGAGTTTGTGATTTTTGACCCACGGTCGATAGAGATCTTCTAATTAGATAACATATATATTTTAATGATTAATTATAATTAAATAAATACTCATTTAGATCGTCTTTGAACGAATGATTTAAAAGAAATATATCGTTTTTATTGAAAAAAACATTTATTTAGATTAAAAAACAGTGGTAATTTTCAATTTTTATATGCAATTGTAGAAAGAAAATCTGAGCAGCTCAAATCTTGGTTAAATTTCAGCTAAATAATGGTTTTCAAAATTTCTTAAAAATCTTCTATATTTAATTTATATGGTCCACTATAAAAAACTTAAATTATAAAATATCATTTCATGTCATTAATATTATTATCATGCATGTTTTCACAAACCTAATGATACACATTGTACTTCTATTTATATGGGTACTTTTATTTTTAAAATTATATTATTTTGTAATTATTTGTACACAAAGTTTTAATTAGGGATAGGCATGGGATCCGAACCCGACCGGTTCCGACCTGATCGGATCGGTTTTTTTTAAAATTCGGGTTCGGTCGGGTCGTTTTTTAAATGTGAGGGTCGGGTCGGGGTCGGATTCGAGATTAGGGTGAAAAATATCCAACCCGAAAAAATATATAATTTTACTTTATATTTTTAGGAATAATTATAATAATACTCCTCTATATATTATTTTTTTCAATTAAGTTATTGTTTTTATTGAATAAAAATAATATTTTTTTATTATTTCGGGTCAGGTCAGATTTTTAAGTTATATATCGGGTCGGGTTCAAGTCGGGTTAAATCTTGTTTTGGTCGGGTCGGGTCGGATCTCGGGTGGAGGATTCTTTGTTCTCGGGTTGGGTCGGGTGGACCAAAAACCCGACCCATACCAATCCCTAGTTTTAATAGCCAATTAAAGTTAAGGTTAATTTAATGGACAATCTATTGGTCTAATGAGAAGAGACACTAAAATTTTTAAGCAAAATTAAATATTCAAATCTTAGCGTTTGTAAATGAAGTAAACTGGATTAGGAGGGTCGTCACCACCTCGATAGTACCCGGTCTGAATTAATCGGTCAATAGATCGAATATCAATGATTAATTAAAAAATTAAGGTTGATTTGAATTTTAAACATGACAATTTCAAAGACTTACTAAATACATAAACCTTAAATAATTGCAAATAAATTAAGGTTTAGAATTTTAATTTATTCTTCAAAATGTAGATTCAATCCAATTAGCTTATTTGAAATTCAAATTTTAATATCAAAGTCTTTTTATTGTCTTATTAAGACAGAGCACCATCATTCCTACACAAAACTAGAATTCATGAAATGAGATGACTTGACACGTGCAAGATTTTACTTAAGTAATATTAAATTACTAGTCACTTGAACTAATATTTGTTAGTAGATTCTCATTGATTTTTGAAAGAGGTAAAAAATTGTTATCAATATGTAATTTAAGGTTGTGGTCTAAAATTTTAATATTTTTTTAAAATTAACAAATATATAATTTTTATATTTTTCATTTTTCCTTAACTATTGCATTAAATATAAAATGACTGTCCCTTTTTCCCATATGTACGGGGTAAGGGGGAGGTAAGATAGTAGGCTACCCCCAACACCAAGTTGAGAGCAGCTTCCGTAAGAGACCTCCGGAATTATGAAATGCCCTCCGTGAGACTCGATCCCACGACCTCAAGATTAAGAACCTTGTGCTCTACCAACTAAGCTAGATGGTCATTTCGTATTGCATTAAATATAATTATGTTTTAAAATAATTGGACACAACGGACCTTCGGGGACTTAGTACATTCATTCATAATGTAATTATATATAATTTTATGTTAAAAGATGTGAAATTTAGATATTATATTAGAAATTTAAGAAATATAATTTTTTAAAATTATAAAATCAAATTATTAGTATAAATTTTAAAATTTTAAAAATTACGACCCCATTTTAACACTTCCTTCGCCTTATTCCTAGATTTGATTTTTGCACTAGAGTTTGATCATGTCAGAAACACATGGACCCACTTCCACCACACTATGCTTTGGATCTAACTTCATGTGCCCCATGGTAAACAATTTTACAACTCAAAATTACTAATTTACTATGGGGAATTCATGATTTTGCTTGGATAGGAGGTAAATTTTTATATTTTTAAGAATTTATGAAATTTTAAGAATAAAATAGATTATCAATAAAAAATAAAATATTTAAAATATATAATAATTTAAAGTTTTTAATAGACAGTTTCCTCATTTATATCTTGATTTATATCTGATTATCAACGATTATATAATTATTATTATTATTTGTTTAATTTTATTGTTTTTATTAAAATATTGCACTAACAATGAATTAATTTAATAAAATAAGATATTAAATTATTAAATAATATTTAAAATTTAAAATATGATATTATAAATAAAAAATTAAGAAAATCATTTTTATGATAAAATTTTATAATATTCTATTTTAAATTAAGAATATTGTTCCAGTAATAATATTAATAATTTTGTTTGAGAAAAGCAAGTAGAGAAAGAAGATAGTGAGATGTAACATCATGGTTTCTAATTTCTCTTTGGCAAGAAGCCTTTCGCAACCTTCTACTATATTTATGTTTAGGGTAAATCACAAATATCATCACTAAACTTTACTATCTCTCCTATTTTTCTTGTTGAACTTTAAAATTTTTCAATTTTCTCACTGAACATAATATATTAAGTTTTTCTAGTAACTAAATTTTACCTCCTCTCCTATTTTGGTAACTCCGTCGTTAAATAGTTAACGACATTTAAAACAACATTGTTTTTAAAAAATATTTTTTTTAACTAAAACGACGTCGTTTGACATCAATATAACTGTTCATTTTAACGATGTTAACTATTTAACGGCTGAGTAACAAAAAATTTAATATATTAAGTTCAATGAGAAACTTGAAAAGATTTAAAGTACAGTGAGTGAAATAGGAGAGAGAGTAAAATTCAATTACCAAAATTTTCATTTACCCTTATATTTAAAACGGATAAAATGTCAATCTATATAAAGCTTGGAAAGGGAATTAAGATCTACCAATTATGTTTCTTCTTTTTAATAGCTACTGAACCATAAAATCTTCATTAATTATTGCATTTAATTTTGGTAATTTGATCATACAACCAAACCAGACATGCTTGCTTAATGCTGTTTAATATGGTAATACTAACCACATGTTCCGACTCTTCATCATCTGAGATGCTATAAATGAACTATGAACTTCGTCCAATGATTAGATGAATTTTGAGTGCAAATTATTAATTAAATAGACTCGTTATATTGAAATGATTACCTTTTTAAAAATTAAAAATCGAGTCAAATCAAATTATTTTAATAGTTAAAGAGTGATGTTATTCTTAGAAGTCTCATATTCTAATATTAGCGATTACAAGATGTTTGAGTATTTATTGTCAAATGGTTAAGAGTCTCTAATACATATACTATCACTTGTAATCACTATAGATTATTTAAAAAAATTAAATTGAATATGGACATGCAAACTTACAATATTTTTATTTGAAAAATTGTCAACTATAAAAAGCATGATGTTAAAATTAATCTCATATGTTTATCAAAAAGGTTATTTTGATTTTTGTTCTATTTTCAGAGTATTTAGGCCCCAACGTTTTATTTTATGGCATAAAAGCACATGATGTTTGACCAAATAGATACTTTAATCCTTTTTTAAAATACTTTGACCCTCAACATTTCATTTTAAGGTAAAATGATCCCGTTTTGGAGTGTTAACTATTTATTAACTAATTTACTTAAAAAAGCTATTTATTAACTAATGATTTTTTATCCATTAAGGGTATTTTTTGTCTCAAAATAAAATATTGAGGTTAAATTACTCCAAAAAAAAGAATAAAAATTAAAATGACCATTTTGAAATACGTAGGGGACTAATTTAAACATCATACCTTTTATGGTTGACAAATTTTCAAACAAAAATATTGTAAGTTCGTATGATTCAATTTTTTAATTAATTAAA